TTCAATGACATGTCTACATATTAAATCTTTTGAAGCAACATTATTATAAATTTTCATATACAGTATAAGTATTTGATTATGTTCTCATATTTAATGTGACGCATATAAAGAAATTTGATCATTTTCAAATTTCTCTCAAAAAAAAAAAGAGTCATTAATTTAATATAGCAATGCATAATGTAATAATATCCTTTACATCCTTTACTTACATTTGTACATACATTTATAAATACTTATTTATTTTATATATTACTCGTATTTGATTCTGAAAAAGAATTATAGAAATTTAAAGATTACTTCGAAATAAGTAAATTATATATTGGTATATAGTAAAAGATTGTGTCAGATCTAAAAATTTAAACTATAAGAAAACATTTTACACTCACAATAATTTTACATATTAGGTTTAAAATTTAGCAAATATAGGAGCTACTTTCAGTGAGAGTGTACTGTGAACCCTCTAGCATCTTGAACTAATTTAAATTAATTGATTTAAACGCGTTTAATAGCAAATTATTGTTATAGCTGGTCAATTGTAATCGCCAATTTATATTATTCTTAAATATTTAAACAATGAATTCTTCCGGAATTGTTTTTGAACTACTGAACGGGTTTTTGAAATTTGTTCTTTTAATAGAACAGTTTGAATGTTTTCGAAAATTTAGTTTTTAAAATCAGAACTGAGAAATTAAACGTTCTAAAAACTACATGTTTAATTTGAGTTTAAAACTTGTAAAGCTCTTAAGCTGTAAAATTTAGAACTGAATTTTAAAAACATTCCTTACAAATCTTTAAAAATCTCCTTACAAATTCAGAGCAGAAATCTGATATATATTTTTTAAATGTTGGAAAATCCTGATATAAATTAAACAAGTTGTTAAATTACAATTTTCTGTTCCGAAAAAAAAACAACAAAATTCTAATAACATGTGATTGCATTGCAAATGTATATAGTATGTGTGCATGTATCCCAAATCCCTATTTTCTCATATATTTTATTGACATTTTTACTGCAAAATTACCAATGCAATGAAAACTTTGTAATGCAGGTTAAAAATACAAGTATACCTTGTATATTTAACACCTGTCATAATTATAAGAATAAAATATTTTGAATAAAGAGTAAAATATTTTCTACCTATATGTAAATAATTACTATAATTTGTAAAATTATTACAGTTTTATATTTAAAATTTTTAAACATAAATTCATAGGAGTAGAAGTACAAAAGGAAAAATTGTCACAAGTGTACAATTTGTCGCCTGAATGGAATTTTAATCTATACGCCATTTTCGTGATTTTTGATTTTAGAACATTCCATAGGTTTCTGAGGATGATCTTTCAGAATATGCAATCGCTATCTCATTTAATTTTAGCAGTTGGTCGAGGTATTTTGAATTCGATTTGGAATATATTTTGATCCATATCCATAATTGTTAGCCTGTTTAGCGAAGAATATCAAAAATTATCTTTCGTAGAAGTAGTGTTACCATAAGTTACCCATTAAATTAACATTTTTTTGTCAAAATGTTTTTTTTGTAAACTTTTACTCAATTTTGAAATTAAAATTCATGCTTAACTTCAGAATTCATTTCACAACAAGCCTATCTGACCTATGTTTACCTTATGGTAAAAATTTTGATTTTTTCGTTTAAAAGAAACATGCCATATGCATTAAAATGACAAACAGTCGACGAAGTATATTTTGTAAATAAATTTCTACAAGTACAAACACATAAAGTAAATAACGGTAAAATGCACATAAAATTGTAATTTAGATTTTTGTGTTATACTTATGTATAAAATGTGTTAAAGGTTATGGAAATTTTTAATTTGATTGAAAATTGTATAATACCTCGCCCTTATACATTTGTATAAAACATAGGAAAATATAATATTATTGTTTATTTAATAATCCTGACTAAAATAATTTTTATCAAAAGAAAATTTCTAATAAGAGAAAATTAATTTATTTGTAATTTTTGGTAGGTTTGGTATTACACAGAATTTTTGTAATATAAAACATACAATTTTTATGTGCAAGTATATGAGTAAGAAACATTTTTATTACAATTTGTAAAACTATGAGATCAAACAAAATATTTCAATAACATTGACATGTTTTGAAGTTATATAGAATTACTGTATAACAATAATATAAAATTGTATTCAGACATTACATATACAAGCATATAGTTATACAACTGTTATATTATATTTGCATTTATATACATTGAGCCTTATTCTAGTTGTCGAAGTAGAGCGACAATTGTCGTCACGACTTGAATTTGGTATTCTAAATGGCGATTACAGTGACACGTGTCGTGGAATAGCGGGAAAATGTGTTTCAGGTATATTCCAGTTGTCGTTGTAGAGCGACAAATGTCGTAGTGAAACGACGTTTTTTGTCGAAATGTATTTAACAAGTGACAAGCGAGATGGATACACCAAAAATGTAAGTTTAAACAAAACAATTTAATAAAAATATAATAAAAATATAAAAAATAATAAATTTTGTAATTTAATACATAAATTAAACCATATAATATATTATTTAATTTTTATTTTTAGCGTAAAAGTAACAACAAGGAAGCAATTTGAAGAATTGGGGAATTTTATGACGGAGAACGCCTTTATTGCGAAAGGCCTTAAATTTGCTGAGAATAGCTGCATAAGCAAATGCGAGTTTGATGCAAAATGGAACCAGCTAACAGAAAAGCTTAATAGCTTGGGTCCGCCCATTAGAAGTACTACAGGATGGCAGAAGGTAATTTTAACTTAAGTTTCATTTAAAATTTAATTAATTTATGTAAATTTCAGGTTTGGTGTGACTACAAATTGAAGTTAAAAAAAAAACTGGCGCACAACAAAAAGGAGTTAAATTCAACTGGCGGTGGTTTATTTAAATTAGCGCAACTAACTGCCATGGATGAAGGAATCATCAATTTACTGTCTTTACAGAAAACAGTTCCACATGACGCCGTAGTGTTTGGCATTGACGAAAACTCAAATTTTGCTCCCAAAGAAAGGAATTTAATAGATACGCCAGTAAATATACATGAAGTTGAAGAACAAGAACAAGACCAACAACAACAGTCAACAAGTACTCAACAACCATCAACTTCAAAAAGACGCCGCCAAGAATCCTATAAAGAAGATTTATTGGTTTCACAAACCGAAATGTTAAGTAAAATATGTGATTCAATGGTTCAAATAAATAAATATGCTAAAAGAATGTCTGATGCAATGGAAAAAAAGTTGAAAATATATGAACGCATGCAAGCGAAAAAGGAGGCTGCCATAGAATTAAAAATGGAAATTATGGAATTAAAAAAACAAGCTATTTCCTTGCAAATTTCTAAAATGTGATTTTTAATGCTGTGACAATAATATGTGTGATAAACTTTAAAGTAAATGTATTCACTATAAGTGATATTAATTAAGTTAACAAATGCAAGTACAAAAAAAAGTCTGTTATGTTAATAATTTAATAATACTATGTATTTATGTTACTGCTAATAAAAACTTTATTTATAAATTAAAAATGGAGTTCATAATATTTGTTCTTATTAAAGAGGCATCTTCTTCATCCTGCTCTAAATCTTCATCGTTTTCATCATTTTCATCTTCTATTTCCACAGGTTCATCTTGCACGTTATATTTGATTTTTAAGTTGTGCAAAGCACAGCACACGTTCACAATTTGTGTGGCTTTCTCTGGTGTATAATGAAGCTCCCGAGCGTTCAACAGGCAGCGGAATGTATTTTTGAGAACTCCATTAGTTCTCTCAATTATATTTCGTACCTTGGAATGAAGCTCATTAAATCTTCCTTTTTGACTGCTGTCACCTCTGTTTATATATGTTCTGAACGGCGTGATCAAGTATGGTTTAAGTGGGTACCCTGCGTCCCCTAAAAAACAATTTTTGTTTATGAAATTAACATAAAAGTAAAAAAAATCAAATTTTTACCTAAAATCCAGGTATTTCGTGTACCGTTGATATTTTCTCTTGAAAGTATTGCATTTAACCTGCTGTAATTCCAAATAAAAGAATCATGAGATGATCCCGGATTATTAGCATCAACATACCTGATGCGCATTTTATGATCGCAAACCTTTAAGTCACATTATATTAAAATATTTACAAATATTTAACAAGCAATGTTATACGTACCAACATAACGTTTAAGCTATGATAACCCTTCCGGTTATAATATAAATGCTGATGATTTTTTGACGGAGTTATAATTCTAACGTGTGTTCCGTCTACACAGCCGATCACTCCAGGAAACCCAAATTTTTCATAGAATGCTAATTTAATCTCATTTCTTTCATTCTCTTCTGGAAACTTTATCAAACTGCTGCAAATTTCAGCTTCTAAAGTTGCTAAAACTTCTTTTAATATTTTAGAGAACGTAGGCTGCGCTAAACCTGTATATAAATCGTTAGCAACACCTTTTTGATAGCTGCCCTCAGATAGGAAGCGTAAAACAGCTCCTAATTTAATTATAGGTGAGACTCCAAAACACCTTTTAGGGGTACTTGTTTTTCCCTCAAATATATTTAGTAAATATAGAAAGGCCTCCTTTGAAAGTCTGTAATAGCTTATAAATCTGTGAATAAAATAAAATGTTTGTAACTAATGTATTTGAAAAAATTATTATCTTACACTCCATTTGGCAAATCCAATGGATTAGAGTTGTCCCTAATCTTAAATCTTTTGATCCTTAATTGTTGTTTTTTTTCGATTTCATCACTCTCGGAATCTGATGAATCCGTAAACCATAATGCAAATGACGACATTTTTTATTTCCCTCTTATTTAAAAAAATAAATATATACACCGAATTTTTTTTTTTAGTTTGAACTTTACTCGCCAAAATTTCTTTTTAAAATGTATCAATTTCACTTGAAACGTTTCATTTTCGTTTATTTCTCGCAGTCACGTCACTCGACAACTAGAATACCACATTTCAAGTGACGTGACAACGACAACGACAAATGTCACGTAAGTGACGCGACAACTAGAATAAGGCTCATTATGTATAGGTAAAATATAAGTGACATATGACATATTTGGGGTGGAAATTTCATTTCATTTATTACCATGTAATTATATACATATTTTGCTGTTTTGCAGGTTCAATATACAAGTTCATATTATATTCCTAATGTTTCATTCTATATATTTTTAATGTTTATTATATAAAAATTTTCTGAAGTATACCCAAAACATGTTAAAGAATTTATTGATAATAAATCTTTACTCTTGAATCTCTTGAATAAAAAAATTACTTCTTAATATTGTAAAAGTTGCACATTTTTGGGTTTGTACAAAAATGAATATTATGCCAATCAAAAAGTCTTATATTTACTTCAAAAATTTTTTAATATCTCTCATACACAATATAATCAAAGTAATTTTTTTATTTTGTTAAGTATATTTCATAGTATAGTATGTACATATATACATATGGTTGTTGACAAAAAATTTTAATTTCTTAATTGCATATATACGACACCAAATATAATGCTCCTCTAAAACTCTTATATAGTTTATAAAAAATTTAAATTCTTGTTTTACAACATTATCATTGTAGATTTATGGACATCATGTTAGAATAATAGACGGATGAATATTGTATAACAAAACAGATATTTATAGTACATATACATAAAGTGCATGCTCTATGATTGCAAATATCCTGCCTATATCCTTACAATTTTAGGAATTTATAAATATTTTATGAAAATTGTAAAAATTGTAAAATTTTTTATTCATACTGTTTGGTATAATTCAAAAATATGTATGATATACATAGCACTCGCATCCATAATATTGAATTATTATAGTGCCTATGAATAATGTTTGTGGTTGTATGTACATGAAAAATGGTTAAGAAATTTATACAAAAATGAAATCTGTCATGTAAATGATTATATGCGGCCAGCATTATATTATAATAATGTTAAATTCTATTCTATATATTATGTGTATAATGTTGGGCTGTAAAATAACACTGTCGCATATCAAAAAGTTTGTCTTTTACGCCCATAGTTCAATTATATTTTCATGACAATAGAAAACTACAATAAAATAATTAGACTAGACGATATTAATTATAAAAACTAATGATTTATCAAAATGATAGATTTTCAAAATGAGGCTTACTGAGAACTCTTATGCTCTTATATAGTTCTATTAAATGAAGAATATAATATCTTAGACATAACACTTTGTGTACAGCTAGGATTTAGTTTGATGAGAATTATTTAGACTTATGTGTTAACTGAACGCAACTCTATACATTAGAATTACGTTGAAGCTCATACATACGGCAATTTTTCAATATCTCTACCTAATTAACCTAATTAACATAAGCTTGCTATCAATCCAAAAAAAAATTAGAATATAAGGCAACAATTTTTATGAAAGGTCTTATTTCAAAATAAAATTCAATTTTTAATGGATTACCCTTATGTTCCTCCTATGGATATACTGAAAAAAAAAAACTAATAAAATTTTAATTAGTTCATTAATAATTAATGAAATCAATAGTACATAACATAAGCTCTAAAAAACTAATAATTATTTCAATTCAATTATGAAATAAAATAACAGGATAATTATTTTCAATATTCCTATATTTTCTCATTCATTCACACATACGTATGACGCGTAAACACATATTTGTTTACACTTAATTCCCATAACATTCAATGATTCAATGTCACAATATAGCTGTCAAAATATATCACTCCCATGAGTGCAATTCATCTGACATTGCTTTATATAATACACAAAATATTGTGTGTGTAATAAATGTGTACAGTATTGTGTTCTTCTATTTTGATATCATGTTGTTTTTGTTTTAAATTAAATTAAATTATCAATTATATTAAAAAAATAACAAACCCCTATGCACTTCTCAAAAATACAAGTGAAATAATTTATAAGTTTGAATGTAAGTTTTTTCTAAAACACAAAGACTATTATTAATTTTAACAGTATAACACAAGAATATTTATTAAGGTGTTCAATAAGTTAAAATGTTGATTTTATGTAGAAAATTTCCAAAAACCTATTTATACCCATATAAATTACAATTTTCCAGTAGGGCTATTTGAAAATATTGAAGTGCAAGGTTTTCTTTCTAATTCGAATTTAGTCGAAAGTTTCTAATTCAGTCGAAAGAGGCGTTTGACACAATAAAAATTTGATGGGTAATTAAAGATCACTGTCAATTTCCATAATTTTTTTTCAAAATCGCTATTGCCACAGTGCCACTAACATATTTTAATAAAATTTAGCACAGAACTGGAAAAAATATTATACTTTTTGACAAAGTACATAAAAATTTAGCTTTATTGACCTAATTAATCAAATAATTGACTTCGTCACGTACTCATCTAATGTCAAAATTTTTGTGTAGAATAAACATTGTGTAGAATTTAAGTGCTTTTTATAGAAATATCACGAAACTTTCGAAAAATTTTTTCGAAATGCATTTCAAATTTTTTATATTGCACAATATATTTTAATAATTATAATGGCAATATAATAACAATATTGTAATAACAATAATAATGTGTCAAATATAAAAGTGGTATATCATATATGTATGTATAACATTAAATAAATAATCATAAATTAATAAATTGAATTTATGTAATTTAATATTGAATCCCCAGAGGAAGTTCCTATCATCATCATTATCATCATCATTTATATGGAAATAAAACTACTTGTTTTTACAAATAAAAAAAAAGTAAAATTGAAGCAGAGAACTTATGAACAACAAAAACATATTACATGTCTGAATAATGAACCCCCTAAAGTGAAACCCCTAAAGTAAAAGTTTTAATTCAAATGATTACAAATAAATGTATAATAATGTGTATACGACATATGTATATATATTTTCATTTATAAAAAATTTTGAAAGCTCAGCTGAAAGAACAAGCATACAATGCAATTTATTCTTACAGTGTGTTCTTTTGTATGGGGTGGTCTAGAGCTTCTTAAAATTTTTTATAGAAAACAAATTGTTTGTGTGATGGGAACACGGACGTCTAATAGTATTTTAGGATGTTTAAAGGAAATAGGATTCGAAAAATTCTTGATGACAAATATTCATAACAGCTTTAAAACTGTTGGCATTTGATACTTGAAAAGATTTAAGGTTTCAGCAATGGTGACGTCAGACTTATTGTCTTCGAGTAAGAGTTGCTTAAATATGAAATTTTAGGTTAGAAAGTTGAAAATTTTAAAAAAAGGTTAACTGTTTTTGTTATTTTTTCGGTACTCTATATTTTCCAAGAATTAGCGTATTGAAAGTGACAAAAAATGCCAGTTTGAGACCACTTTATATTTGGAATTGCAATTTCATTGCAAATTATGTTTTATAGATCTGGGCAGTATCTATTTATTTGATCAAAGTTGTTGAGAGACGACTCATATTTTTTTAATGAAGAAAAATTTGAATTCGAAACTTTACAAGATAGAGAGAATAAAATTAGTATAACAGTGAATATTGAGATGTAGTACATAATGCGCGCTTTGGATTCTTTTTATTTTACAAAAGTTTTACTGTCTTTTTATTGATTTTCCGCATTTTATTATATATTGTTGGCCTGAGTTTATTACACGCAAAGAAATCCACTCTAATTGACTTACAAAATAGAATTGAAGAGAATAAGTTGACTGTTCGGCCACTCTAATAGTCAAAAACCTAATATATAAATTTTTAATTTTTTGCAAAACATGAAAAAACATTTCTGAGATATTATTATTGTAATCTTAATTATTTCTGTGGAAAGAAATGTTTTCAGTCGATTTCAGCAGGCTACTTTCGACTCATATAAACTTCCGTAATTTTATACATTTCCACTTCGTTTGCTTTTATTAAATATTTTGTTTTATACTAGTGTAAATGGTTCGTGTAAGCTTATTACATATTTATATACCATATCATTAAAAAATTTAAATATTATTATAAATTCAGATATGAGTAATGACTTATTAAGTTACATTTTATTGTAATTTTGAAATAAAAAAGAAATTCAAGATGCATGTAAAATATCTCAAATATTTTTTTTTTATAAAAATCTAATTATTCAACCCTATCAGCCCCACATATGATAACCTCTGCTCTATATCTCCGTTTCTATTCCATTTATAATAATAGTATTTCAGAATATAATTATTTTTAGTGTCTCTAAATACAATAAAATTCAAGTAGGTAAGTATATATCAAACATCTTGAATAAAATCAATATTATCTATTCAATAGATTAATATTTTTAGAACCCCCCATATGGCATATTTTACAACTATTTATAGTGCAATTTATAATTATTATATAAAAAGCTGTTTAAAATATCTATTTTAAAAATTAAATGCTTTCTCATAAGTGTGTAAGTCTTCCTCTATTCATTCATTCATTCATTCAATCAAATTTTAAATTGACGTCATATTGAGCGCGGCGCGTCGTTTCATTAATTAATTATAAACGTTTTATTTGGATTTGGGAAATATATTTCTTTGTATGTATATGTACAATTATTATTAAAAGTATAATAATAATAATGATATTTTCAAAGTTTAAGCTGACATATTCCCCCCCCCCCCACATTTCCTTTACAATATCTTTTGTATACACAAGAATCAATTTCATATTATTTTTAAATTTTCTTATATTAATTAAAATTGAGCAAGCACATAATTTTTATATGTAGGTCAAATGTAATAAAAGATATTTTGAAAATATATATAAGGATATATATATATATATATATAAGTACAAATATATGCGATCTATTGTATTAATAATATATTATATGGGTTTGTATAATAATATCTTCTTTAATTATAATAAAATATTGTTAACCTTATAATAATATGTTCAGCGTATATCAGTTCATCAGTTCATCAAAGTTTAATGAAAATTAATAAAATTGATTGGAAAATATTAAATAAAAAAAAAACTTTTACAAATTTGATTTCCC